TATTGGGTGGATGTGTGGCCACCGGGTTGAGTCATAGCAGAGGGGGCTGACCACTGGTGGTGTCCAGTTGAGGATGGGCTGACCAGCTGGGAGGGATGCTGTGAAGGGGCCACCTCAAGCTGCTCTGTGTCTGTCCATCCAGACCACAGTCGTGGTCACTTGGGCTGTGCCACGCTCACCTATGCGGATGGCTGTGTAGACGTGCTCGGGGTCGTGCATGAGGTCATGCAGAGCCATGAGGGCTTTCTGCCTTGTCAACAGGTCCTCCGACTGCAGCTCCTCGTTCAGCTTGGGCAGCGCCCGGCAGCCGTAGGCAATGGCAGCCTGGGTGGGGTTGATGTCGGGGGGCAGGTACTTGGAGATCTGGGTGTGGGCCATCTTCCCACGCCTCCCGCTCCTGCACAGGGCGGCTCTGTCGCTTTCGAAGTGAAGCTCTGCAGAAACCACTGATTAAAAGAACCCAAAAGTTGTCAACATTGCTGCTGTGATTTGGTATTTTTACTTCCATTTTACAGATGAGCAAACTGAGAGTGAGAGCAACAAAGGGATTTGTTCAAGGTCACAGTGAAGCCCAAACTTCACAGTGAAGTGGCGGCCCAACCTGCAAACTTCAGAGTTCTCCCGATACTTTATAGGCTGGGCCTTGGGACAAAGGCATTGAAAACACAAACTAAGCCAAATGAGCAAACACTGTATCAGCTCCATTCAGTGCTTATCTTGTGCCAGCAATACCTGATATCCAACTCGGCTACCCCAGGAGGAGGGGTGAAGGAGGAAACTGAGGTTTAGGGGCAACGAGCCATGGAGGTCACGAACTAGGAACCAATGTTCAAATCTGGGTGTAGCACATCCACCCATCAGGGACCCACAGTCGGATGCTCCCGGCACATCCATAGAGAAGGAAATAAGGTTAAAGTGTGATTTATTTTTATTACACACACACTTTGAGCAACTGTAGGCAGTGTGGCTTAGTAGTTAAGAATGGGCTCCAGACCCAAGCCAGTGGGTGGCCCTTAACAAGTTATTTCCTCTGTGTCTTTCTGCAGCTCAAAAGGGAGATGATAATAGCACCCACCCCACCCCAACCCCCGACCCCCGCCAAGCTGCCATATTCGCTGAGACTCTTGAGCCTGGCTCGCCAGGGCTCCAGATACTTTGGCTGAGTTATTATTAAGCTGATGGGGGTTGTGACCGCGTTTAGTGGCAGTGACAAACCCCTGCCTGTGGGAACCGACTCCACTAAGAGAGGTGAGCCGGACTCTGATTCCGGGCACCTGGTGACTAGGGAAGGAGGAGAAGGGGCCGGGCTGGAAGAGAAGAGGGGGCCCAGCCATCTGGGATCGGGGCTCCCCTCTCAGGAAACGGTGGGCGCCAGGGACAGGGGCCTACCCTCATCTAAGGGGTATGGGCTGCCTTGGGGTGGGAGGGCGCGGGGCCTGTTGATCAGGACCGGGTGGGTCTGGGGACCCCTGGCCCCTGGCCCCTGTCGGCCGCCGCAGACTCACCTGCTTCAGCGCGCAAGGTTCTGTAGCACTTGCCCGTTGCCAGGCGACCCGGTTGCCAGGCGACCCTGAGCAGCGTCAGCCACGCAGCTCTTGCACACTCGGCGCCCACCGCGCAGGCGCGAACATCCCAGGCCAGGGCCGGCAGTAAAGTGGGGGTGGTGATATTTTACAGGGTTACTGTGGGGAACAAAGGCGGCTCAGCTTTGTTCATAGTGCGGAAGGGAAGTGTCTATGTGCGCCTTTCTCTGTACTGGGCACTTGGCACACTGTTAATCCTCAGAGTAAACCTGTGAGGTGATAACATTCTCCATTTTACGGACAGGAACCTCAAAGAGGTTCAGTAGCTTCTGCTGAATCACTGAGGCCTGATTCCAGGACTGCTTAGCCCTGGTCCAGGCTCCTTCCTCGGCAGGCTGACTGGCTGGTGACAACACAGGTCGGCCCCTGCAGTGGACTCAATGCACTGCTGGCCAGAGCAGTTGTTCTTGAAATCAAGCCAGAGCCAGCCACCACATACACCAAACCCTCCCAGGGCTCCCCACTGGTCTCAGGACAGAGTCCGGACTCCTAGCCTACCGCTCGAGGCCCTGGGTGAAGGCTTCCTCCACACATGCTGGATTCTTTCTTAATCCCCCAAATGGCTAACTCTTTCCTGCAGCTGGGCTGCTTGTAACACTATCCACTTCTTTGTTCTTCAGGACACAACTTGTTGTACTCTTCCATCAGGAAGCCGACCTTCTGCGCAACTCAAAATTAGCGAGTGATCCTATAGCTTAATTACCCCACTGGCACACTTCCCTCTTCTTATTCTCTACTTGCTTGTCTGTTTCCCCCAACAGACTTCCCTGAGGGTGGAGGCCACTTCGGTCCTGGTTCCTTGCCTCCCCAGTGCCAGGAATATACCAGGAGGCCTTTCGGTAAGTGTAGAAGAAGTGAATGGTTAATGGATTTGAGTCAAGCTTCATAATCAAAGCACTTTCACCATCTTGTGTGATCCTCACAACAAACCCTTGAAGTACGTAGTCAGGTCCATTTTATACCAGAGTAAACGGAGGAGGAAGTTGAGCAACTCAGGGAAGCTCACTCTGAGGCCTGAGCCCTTAGCAGTGAAACTCACTAACAAAGACACCAAGCGTCGGCCTCCGGCACATTTAACTCTGACAGGAAGGCAACTGACTTCGATCTGTGTGCCATGGACCCCACTTTGTGATGTGGATGTCTGCCCCTACCGCTGTCCCTCAAAGGACCAAGTTGTGAAGGGTCTGTCTAACCTAGAGCATCCTAGCTTTTGTACAAAGGTGGTGTGGAGAGCATTGGGCTGGGATTTAGGAAAGCTGGGTTCCAAATCTAGTTCTAACTCGTGAAGCAAATCCTTTGGAATGTGTGAGCCTTCATTTCCTTGCTTGTGAAATCAGGGAGCTGAATCAAGTAGATTCTCAAAGCTGGGAATTCCAGATCTCTCAGGATTTGGTTACAGAGAGTCTTTTTGTAAAATCGTCCTTCAATTTTCTGTTTTTCAATCTCCTTTTTATTATTTTTGCAAACACACACATAACATTCTATGTAGCATATATGTTAATTTGTGAGACATAAAAATATAATAAGCACCTGTGAATTCACCATTAGAACATTATCAGTGTCTGCATCCCCTTCCCTTGTCCCATACACGGTCCTCCTCTCCAAAGCTACCATCTCATTTCTGTGGCTACCATCTCATAAATGCCTCTGGAAGCCATCTAGCCCCACATGCCTCTCTCTGCAAACAGAAACTAGCTCACAGAAGCTCAGTGACTCAGGTCAGCCTTTAAACAGCCATTAATTATGGAAATTAATGTTGCAGCATGAGCTCTAGAAGCCAAGGCATATGATATTCAGGCATCATTAGGTTCAGAACTATGCAGATGAAGGTCAGGAAATGGAAGGCGTGTCCATTCCTTGTCACTGCAGGGCGATCAAATGCCAGTGCTACAGCAAGAGCCTCTTCTTATGCCATGATTGCAGAGAGGAGGAGGTGTCTGTGGGAAAGGTACAAAGCACACCGAAATGCATCAGGGCTAACCCAGAGGGGCCGAGACGGGGGATATTATTGTATTCCCTCTGTTCCAAAATGTTTATTTTCATTTGAATTATTTACCAAATAGGTGATATATGTACATAGAAGAAAATCCAAAAAGTATGAAAGTATAATGTCTCCCTCCCTCCTTGGTCCCCAGCCAACGGATCGTCCTTACCTATGGCAACCACTGGAATCTTTCCATTGATAAACTAAATTTATACGAGTAAATACAATTCATTTACCTTTTAATGTAATGGCAGTATACTTCAAACAGTGTTCACCTTGTTTTTGTAAATGCAATATTTGTTCACTCATTTAACATTCACTCCATGCCTGCTTATGTGCAGGCACTGTTTGGCTGATGCAATAAGTCGGGTGGACTATACACAAGAACCCCTGCTCTCATTGCGCTCAGTGGAGGGAGACAGACAATCAACAAAAACAGCAAGTTATATAATGTGTTAGAAAATGCTAAGTGCCTGGGAGAAATAGAGCAGAATAAGGGGTTGGAAGGATGCGGCAGTTGTAAATAGGATGCCTCATCTAGAGGTGACATCTGAGCAATGTGGCTATCTGGGGACAGAGCCTTCCAGGCCTAGGAGACAGCTGATGCAAGCACCCCGGTGCCTGGCGTGTGGAGGAACAGCAAGGAGGCCAGTGGAGCATGTGTGGGATGGGGGGGGAGGGGGAAGCAGTAGGAGATGAGCTAAGAGAATAAATGGGGCAAATCACATGGGGCCTCTTGGGCTATTGTAAAGATTTTATTCATCTAAGAGCGATGAGGAGGCATTGGAGGGTTTGGAGCTGAGGACTGACATGATCTGATCTGTGTTTTAACAAGGGATCCCTGGGGGCTGCTGAACTGGGAATAGGATAGAAGCAAGGGTGGAAGCAGGGAGACCAGTTAAGGGGAGAGAAGATGATGATGGTTGGGACCATGGTGAGATCAGAGGAAGCAGGAGGGAGAGAGAAGACACTGGACAAATTTTGAGGGTAGAACCTACAGGATTTACTGATAGATCAGACACTGGATGTGATGGAAAGAAGTCAAGGGATCTTGGAGATCCCTCCCTACCAGATAACAAGAAAAACACGAAATATTTACATAACAAGAAAAAGATCACATTTGCTATATTATGAAAATAAGTACTTAAACACTGCACATGATTCCCTCCACGTTTGAACCACCAACCCTCCCCAGCCATGGTGACATCAGGGAGGCCAGGTGCGCAAGTCTCTCCACGGTCAGCCCCGCCCAGGCCCGCCCCTGGAGCCCAGGCCCCACCCATGGCCGACCTGGCCCGCCCACCAGGCCCCGCCCTTGTTGCCATGGTGATCACCGGCGCTCGGGCCGCGTCCCGGAGTCTCCCGCGAGGCTCTGGTTGCTATGGTGATCGCGGCGCGAGACGCTGACGGAACACTTTTGGCTGTGAGCCCCATCCCCGACGTCCCGGATTCGTCAGACGCCCGCCTGTCCCGTGTGGTGCTCGTTGCCATGGTGATCGCGGCCACTGGACCCTCCGGACTAGGCAGCGTCAGGAGCCTCTGCAGCCGCCGCAGGTGAGTCAGCCGCCCCTTCGGACACACCCTCTCCCGCCCGCGTGATCCCCCGCCCACCTCCCACTGCATAACCTGAAAGCGGCCTGGGCCCCGGGCCTCCTCGTTTCCTGACCGCACACCCCGGGCCCCCAGTGCTGGTCTGGGGAGAGATGGTCCGATGCGGAGGACCACAGGCCTCTCTCTCGGTCAAGGCCACCCAGTGCGGAGGGGGCGGGAGGGAGAAGGAGCCGGGGCTGTGGAATAGGCTGAGGGGCCCGGTGCCGGCTGTGGTGGTTCTGGGAAAGGCCTGTGGGCTGAACCCTGAGGGCCCTGCATACCCAGAGCCTTCATCCCTTAAGGGGCAGGAGCGGGGGACCCCTCCCCACTCTACTTCCTCTTCCCGGGCTGTGTGCACAGCCTGGCGACTGTGCTCCTTCACTCAGCGCAGAGCTGAGCTCAGGGAGGCGCCACTCCTGGTGGACATCGGTCAGGAGACTCAGGTCTCCTCGACTCCAAGGCCTGGTGGCAGGCCTGGTACCCGCCCCCGTGCCCCAACACACACTGCCTGCAGATTGGAGAGATGACCCCTGGCATCCTGACATTCCTGACAGAGAAGGAGGCTTGGACCTGTTTTCAAAGCTACTGCAACGTTAGGTATCAACTTTGGGGGAGTCCCCAGGGATTTGCACAGTTCCCTAACTCTCTTCCCCCTTTTGGGGCCACAGGACTCCCAGGAAGAATGAGGTCCTCTGTGATGCCTTTGGGGCCCACGGTGAGCCGGGACCGCGTCATCACCAGCTTCCCTAAGGTAGGGAGGCGTTAGGCCAGCCCTTGATATGTGCACTGCTCTCCGGACACCATGTCCTCACCCAGCTTTCCCCACCTCACTCACCACTGGAAACAAAGCAGGTGAATCGGGGAGGTCAGTGCCTCACTGACAGACCCCAGGGACTCAGCAGACTTCTTGAGAAGCTTGGCGTTGACTTGCCCAAGGTGGGCCAGCAAGTGAAAGGTGACACCAGGAGGCAGTGTGGCATGGATGAAGGGCACAGACTTTGCGGTCAGACTGTCCTGGGTGTGAGTCCTGCATGTCATTAAGCTGTGTGACCGCGGGCAAGTTACTCAACCTCTCAGAGCCACTGGTACAGAAGGATAATTCCTCTCATATTGGGTGTCTGGCTCATGGTAAAAGGGAGCTCCCTTGCCCAAGTGTGGTCACTGTTTTTCTCATTTTAATTATGACATTATCAAACAGCACTCCAGTTTCCTGACACCAAATCCAAAGTTCTCACCCCTTACCATTCTGCCTTCTGTCCTTGCTGGAAACTCACAGCTCTCTTCCATCTATATTAAAATCCATTATTAATCACAGCAGGGGATGCAAATCTGCACAGCCTCCCAAGGGAGCAGCGGGATAATGTCTCCCAGCACTGCAGATGCTCAGGGCCAGGCACTGCAGCAATTTGTAAAGTAGAAGGTCAGACACAACATAATGTCCTCGAGAGGGGGCCACGTAGACAGCAAAATGCTGCTTCTTGACACAGACTCGGGGAGGCATGAGCGCCTCTCAGGGGCTGATGCACAATGAGAGCCAAAGTAAGTTGTTGAGCACCATGTGTGAGAAAAGGAGCAGAAATGCATGTGTTTGCTTCTATGTGCAGGGTATCTGGAAGGATGCTTAAGATCCTGCCATGAATGGTTGGTGCTGTGGGGAGAAATCCTCTCTTTTGAGTCTTGGAATCTGTGCCCAGGCCGGTGGGGGAAGGAGGGTAGGCTCTGGGTATTTGGGGTCCGCAGTCATTCCTCCTCCCCCTCTCCTGCCTTCCCCCCAACCCCGAGTTCTGTCTCCAACATGCACAGATAAAGCCTCGGTGCTTTAGACCCGTGGACAGTGCCCCCAGGACTTTCCATCTCATCAGAGGCCCAGGCAGCTGCTTCTCTACTGAACTTGACAGTGGTGACTAGGGATGACGGGGACTGGGGTTAAAAAGCCAAAGGAAGGGAAGCGTGATCGGCACAAAACAGTCCAGGTCTCATGGGATGAAGGACCCCAATTACAAAGTGGGATGAGGCTCAGAGAGGTAGGGAGGACTGCCTGAGGTCACACAGCTGGGCGTGGGGGAGCCCAGACTTGACCCAACTGTGGCCGACTCCAGAGCTCTGACGTTTCCCCACCTTGGGAGGCAGGCTAGGGCATCCCTGCTTCCACAGAAGGTAAGATTCTCCGCCAACTGCCTGTGGCCAAGTTCATCCCACACTCCAGGGCCACAGCACTTCAGACCCAAGCAATTCGTGGTCAGATGGGGCCAGTCCTTCCTTCACCCCATGTGCCTCGGTTTTCCTCTGTGCGCTTCCTGCCAGCCTTCCCTAGCACACTTCTCCAATCTGTCCCAAGTCCTGGGACCCCTCTACTGACCGCCGTGTCTTGGCCAGCCCCCAGCTTGACACTGACACGGAAGTGGACGGAAAAGCAGCCAGCTTTCCCGAGAGGTGGCCCACCTTCGCATGGCCGGGGGCCCTGGGCTGAGCGCTCGTCTGCACTGCCCACTTGCTCCTCCAGTGAGCAGACCAAGAGGTGCCGTGAGGGGTGTCCCCACCTTACAGATGACGACATGGGCGCTGTGAGGTCCCGCCCTCACCCCTGGCCGAGCTCCTTCACCGTCCCTGTTGCCTTGGTCTCACAGAGCCGAGAGGGCAGGTGGACCAGGGCAGAGCCGCAGGGGCCCTGAAGGACAGAGGGGTGGCCCAGGGACCACAGCAGAGCACAGCAGCAGTCTCCAGCTCGGCCTCCTCCCACATCCTGGCCATGCCCCACACTTAGCCTTGGCCAATCTGACTGCAAAACGTAATGGTCACCTTTCATTTGTTTAACATCATTTTTTCTAATTATAGAACAAACCTGCATTCGATGTGTCATGGCGTCTTTGCTGATCACTTAGTATGTATGTGCCAGACCAGCTCTGCGCTGGTGGCTTCACAAATGTAACCTCGTTTTATGCCCCCAAGTCCCTGAGATTTTCCAGATGCAGAAATTGAAGTTCGGAGACGTGAGGCAACTACCCAGGGTCACACAGCAGCTGAGGGTGGACACAGGGGCCCTGCTCTTAGACCACTACCTAGTTCTGCCTTCTGAACAATATGGAAGATGAAAGTGCCTTCCAGGACATTTTCCATGCACAGATATGCATATTTTTAAAACAAAAATGGCATCAGAGATCCATAGAAGGGGTAGGAGGATCTTGGCACTAAAAGGGCCCTTACAGCCCACCCCTCCTCTCATTGGAAGAGGCCCAGATGGGACAGAGGGTTGATACGCCCACAGCAAGGGCACAGCTGCCCCCAGCGGGACACAGCTCTCTGGATCCCCGCCTGGGCTCCCTGGTGTGTCCTTGTCCCACTGCTCCTCCTCGGGGCTCACAAGACCCTGGAGCCTTGGGAGTCGCTGACAAGGTAGAGGACGGATGTGACCGAGGCTCAGGAAGGAGCCTGCTGCCCGCTTGGCGAGCTTTGCAGGGTGATGTGCCCACCTGTCTGTCTGTCTTGTTTCCAGTGGTACACGCCCGCTGCCTGCCTGCAGCTCCGGGAGCACTTTCACGGGCAGGTCAGCGCCGCCTGCCAACACAGGAATACGGGGACCGTCGGGTGAGTGCCGGCTTGGCCAGGGGAGGGTGGGGAGGGTCGAGCGCACATGTGAGTGTGTGGATGCGGGCACCGCCACCCCATACAGGTCTGAGGAGCATCTGCCGTTTATCTGGCTTTACCTGCCGCACCTGCTGTAGGAACAGCTCCCCCCTCGGTGAGGCCAGCAGCGAGGTCTGAGCACGGCTGTTCCCTCCAGAAGCATTTCCTGCCCTTCAGGCCTCAGACTTAGTGTTGGGTCCCTGCGGTCTCCTCTGAGTCCCCACCACACCTGCCCCCTCGCCCAGACGGAGCGGGTGCCCCCTGCACCATGCTCCTGAACTCCATGCTGGGTTCCTCGCCAGGCCACACGCAGGAAGGAGAGGCACGTGTGCGCCCCGTCACTGCCTCAGGGCGCCTGGCACTGCGGCACAGGTGTCCTGTCATGGTCACATCTTCTTAACAAACAGGTGCGGGGTCCTGCTTCCGCCATGCATCCTGAGGGGCTCATGGTCTGTTCAGGGAGAAGGCTGAGCTCACAAGTCACATGGGGACAGTGAGGCCAGGACGGCCAAGGTGGCCATGGTCATGGGCTGAGCATGGCGGCGGCTGCTGGGGGAGTGCTGGTTCCACACCAGGGGCTTCCCACCAAGGAGCTCCCAGCCCTTCCCCACACTCAGTGCTGGAAGGCCAGGAAACTGGGGCACAGGGGAACCCAGTGGCCCTGCGGCAGCACCTTTACTCCTCCTGAGAAGCAGAGTCAGGGCCACCTGCTCCAGAACTAGCAGCGCAGGGAATTCCCTGGCAGTCCAGTGGTTAGGACTCGGTGCTTTCACTGCCGGGGCCTGGGTTCGATCCCTGGTCAGGGAACTAAGATCCCGCAAGCCTCATGGTGCAGCCAAAAACAAAACAAAACACCAGACGCGCACGCGCACACACACACACACGCACACACGCACACATACACGCGCGCGCGCACACATGCACACACACAGAACTAGCAGACGCGCGCGCACACACACACGCACACACACACAGAACTAGCGGTGCAGACGCGCACGCACACACACACACACACACACAGAACTAGCAGTGCAGATGCAGCGCCGAGGTAAGGGGCGCAGGCAGGGGTACAGGGCCTGGGGCTGTGTGCCTGCCAGGACACCACCGTCACCCTGGAGGGCGTTCCAGGGCCAGGCAGGCTGGGGGCATGTTGTGGACTCAGGTCTGCACGCCTGGGCCATGGCTCTAAGGTTCTCAGGCTCCCTGGGGAGGGGGGACCCTGCTCACCTAGAGCAGCTACCCCTCCCTCTGTGTGTGTCCTGCACTCGCACAGCAGCATTCCTGGGACTGTGGGTCACGCCCAAACCACCAGTCTCCTCCACCTGCAGACAGCAACAGGGCACCTCTGTGTCACCTGGTGACTTGGTGCAGCTCACCTGGCCACGTCTTCGAGGGAGGGGCCGTGTCTACTCTGCTCCCAGGCAGCAGCTAGTTCTGGAGCAGATGACCCAACTTGGACACAGCCCCACCTGGGGCTCTTCCCGCTGCTCCCTCAGCCCAAGACTCAGCCTCCCATGGTGCCCATTTGTGATTCTCATGAAGGGACAGGGACCCAGTTGGGATCAGGGGTACAGAGTCCCCAGAACAAATGCAGGTCCTCCTGCCCTCCCCTCTGAGGGCCAGTGAGGGGGACGGACCTCCCAGAGTGTGTCACAGGTGACCTGTCCGCATCACGAGTGGGGAATGCAGGGAAGGAGGGGCCCGTGTGCGCGAAGATGCTCCCGTGATCACGCCTGAGAGCACTGCGCCGTACTCCTCACAGGCTCAAACTCTCCAAGGTGGTTGTGGTCGGCGACCTCTACGTGGGCAAGACCAGCCTCATCCACAGGTGCGCCACCGGCCCGGGAGGCTCCATTACATGTCGCAGTGGAGACCATGTGGCTGCTGGGAGGGGGTGCAAGAAATCTGGGAGATGGTGGGTCCGCGGGGAGTACGGCGTCCTAGGAGCCTGGCATTGGTCACACCATCCCCGGGGCCACAGGCTCCCCTCCCTGCCCTCCCTGCCGGCAGACGCGGTACTTTTCACTGCCTTGACCCACTTGTTGGTCTCTCCTGCTGCCGCAGCCTCTCTCCACACGGAGTTCCCGCTGGCAGCTCCGTCGCCCGTGGCCTGTCTCTGCGGCCTGTCTCCATGGCCGTCACCGCCTGGTCTTCCCTGAGGGCGGGCTCTGATGGCTTCCTCGGCCCCCACAGGTTCTGCAAGAATGTTTTCGACTGCGACTACAAGGCCACCATCGGGGTGGACTTTGAGATGGAGCGCTTTGAGGTCGCCGGGATCCCCTTCAGCCTCCAGATGTAAGTCACCGCGCCTCGCTTGTTTCCCATCATATGGTTGTGGAGGGCTTCGCGGAGACGCCGGGGGAGACCCCGGGGAAGGCCTCGGCGAGCGGGCAGGAAGCCCCGGGCGGTTTTGTGAAGCTGGGCTCTCTGCTGCCCCAGTCCCTGCAGCCTGATGTGCCCGCCCCTGCCCCCAGCCTCCCCTGGTGCTCCCCGTGGGCCCTCTGTGATCCCATTTGCCAGGCCAGCAGCGCGGCCTCCGGCAAGTCACTTCAGCCCTCCAGCCTCTGTTCCCACTTGGAAAACGGGGCCAAAACCGTTCCCTGCGTTCTGGGCTCTAGCAGAGGCCACACGGTCCACAGACCTTACTGGGGCCTGATGCTGCCCCGTCTCTCTCCCTCTGTCTGTGTGTCTGTCTCCTCCCTGCCAGACCTCATGCCTTGGCCTCTCAGGGACACACACACACACACACACATCCCTGGCTTCGGCCCCTCTCCTCTAGTTTCCCTCAGAATAGCCCAGGGTCTCCCCCCAGCCTCATGCTTTCCCACCAGAGGCCCTCTCCTCCGGCACCTGCTGGTCTCCAGCCTGGCCCTCTCCTGCGTGGCCGACCCTGCTGGCATTCCCTGGGCCTCTGTCTGGTCCCCTCCTCCTGCGCTCTCTCTGGTGCTCACCCCTGCTCCCTGGATTCACTCCTCGGGCCTCCATGCCCCGGGCTGGACCTGGGATCGCGGTGATCACGGTGGAGCTCACCCCCTTGTGGACTTCATTCAGCTCCTAATGTGTCGAGACTGTGCCCGCTCCTCTGAGACCAGTCCCAGTGCAGTCCTGGAGCAGATGGTACCACCAAACCTCTCCCAAGGGGGTGTACAGGGTCAGACCAGAGCAGAAGAGGCTGTGAAGACACAGGCCTGCAGGACCGAGGGGATGAGGAGGCAGGAGAGTGAAGCAGCACGGGCTGCTGGGGGCAGCCTAGCTGGAGCTGCAGAGGGCAGCTGTGTCTAATTAGAGGGCCCAGGAGGAAGCAGGGGGCTCTCCGGGCTCCGCCTCTCCTTGTCCTACACAGAGGCCATTGCCAGCCAATCAACTGGCCCCACTGCCAGGCCACCCTCCCAGCTCCCACCCAGAGTATTCTTCAGAAGTGGAAATGTGAATGAATTAATGAAAGAGCCAAACAGTTCTGCATCATGCTGGATCGCTTGGAAAAATTTCAGATTATTGGTGTCTTGTTCATGGCTTGTCTACTCGTTAGTTTACTGAGAAAACTTAAATTTTGATGTGTTGATTTTTAAAAAGGGTGGATTTTCAGACTCAGCCCTGCATTTTGACCTACAGCCTTGTTCTAAACCAGGGCAAGCAGATCTCAGCAGGTAACTTCCTCTATCTTTACTGTGCCCATGGCAGACATCATTAATCAACTGCATTTTTTTCCATGGAGCCAGGGCTCAGCTCCTCCAGAGAGCCAGAGCTAACTGATCAGAGAAGCAAACCATGTCCTTGTCAGACAACGCACCCCACCCAGAGAGCTGAGCGTCCCCTCCACTGCCATGGGGAAGGTGGAGCCACACCCCAGTCACACATGAGCAAGTGCCAGAGCCCCAGTCCCATTCCCGGGGTCGCCTCTACAGGTGGACTTTCACATCTTGAGAGCAGCCACATCAGGGAGCACATTCTCTTTTTTATGGCGCAGTTGGAAGGGACTGAGCTACAGCTCCATTCATCTGGGCAGTGGAAATGCTAAGGCCGCGCCCCTCCCCGATGAGCACAGTGCATCCAGAGAGGGGGTTCCCCATGGGCGCCCAAGGAAGGAATCATAAGGAGCTGGGGGTGGGGCTGGCTGGCTGGCAGCAGCCACTTTGTGGCACCCATGCAGCTGGTGCGGGCGCGTGGGTCTCCGGCCCAGGGCCCCACAAGCCTGCTGGCTGTGGACACTGTGATCAATGGCTTAACCTGCCACCTCTCCGTTTCCCCTTTTCTCTCTCTCTCCCTCTCTCTCTCCCCCTCCCTCTCGGTCACGGCGCAGCTGGGACACAGCAGGACAGGAGAAGTTCAAGTGCATCGCGTCTGCCTACTACCGGGGTGCCCAGGGTGAGTAGCCGGGTGACGGCAACAGTGAGGCCTCAACCATGTGCAGCAGGGGCTCCCCGTGAATTCCCTGCTGGGCGCACAGCAAGATGCCCAGGTATTCCGTGCAGGCACCAAATCTGTCCCCTGAGAGCCACTGAGGAAACACGGGGCCGGTCCTCGTCTTCCAGCCGGGCCCAGGCCAGCCTCGGCAGCCACGCGCTTTAGGGACCCACGGTGGCGGGTGCTACCTGAAAGTCTCAGCCCCAGTTTCAGCTCAGAAGGGTGCTCAGAGTGGGGTGTACTTGTGCAGAGACCCCGGAAAGAAGAGCAGAGTCAACTCAGGAGCGGGGGGCGGGGCTTGGCTGGAGGGGAGGGGTGGAGGTGGGCCCTCAGGTGGGGGCCAGCGGGGCTCCTCGCCCACCACATCCTTGTTGAGGGCGCCCCAGCCCTGGGCAGGCCTCCCGGTCAGCAGGCAGTAGCAGCATAAGCCCCCTCCTCTGACCAGGAAGAAGAGAGAAAGGGTTTCAGTGAGAGGTAAGAGCAAGCGGTCCGAGGCATCCAAACCGGACTCAGATGATGAGGTACAGTTAGGTCCACTCAGTACTGGTGTTAAAAGTCACATTTTCACTAAGGTTTGAAAAAAGCAAAAACAGGAAACCACGAGCACCTCAGCTGTGGATTGGAATAACAGCTCTGCCACATCTGCTGTGGCCTCTCTTCTCAGGGGGATGACACCCCCTGGGAATAAGGCGTGGCGCCTGGCACAGCCCTGCAGACAGCGGCCCGGCCACGGTCACCACCACCATCAGCTTCCTCCACTTCTCAGCCCCTCTGCCAGGGCGGGGCACATGGGTGGGCCTCCTGCAGCCTTCAGCCGAGGTGCAGAGGGAGGCCCACGTCCAGCCCTGATCACACCCCTGGGGCCAGAAGAGAGCAGGCCAGGAATGCTCTCCACATGGGGCCACCCAGGGCACAGGGGACCAGACAGGGCAGTGATGAGAGGAGCTGGGGGGAGGAGGCTGCATCTCCCAATTTCCTGCCCACCCTGCTCCTCAGAAATTGTTCCCCTGAAGCTGGTTGTTGCTAATCGCCCGCACAACCATAGCTGCCAGTGGGGGAAAGTCTGCCCCACGTCAGGCCCTAGGCCAAGAGCTTTAAAACAGCTGCTCCAACTTAGTCCTCAGAGCTACCCTGAGAGCTAGAGGTAGCTGTGGTCCTCACCATGTCACAGACGAAGGCTGAGGCTCTCAGCGTCAAGGCCTCACCTGCACTCCCTCAGCCGTAAGAGACAGAGGGGAGATTTGAACGCAGGGGCTCACCTTGCCTCCCTGGAGCCCCCTGTGGCTGGGCCGCTGGGTGTGGATCAGAGTGGGGGGCTGGGTCCCCAGGGCGGCCATGGGTGTCTCCCTCCCAGCGTCCGTCGCCCCTATCAGTTCCGCGGGAGCCCCCTTGTCACGCCGTGTTTGCCTCCCCCGTCACTGACCGGCTCCTGGCTCCCCCCTCCACCCCATGCAGTGATCATCACGGCCTTTGACCTCACTGACATGCAGACCCTGGAGCACACCAGGCAAGTCTGGGGCTCTGCAGCCCCCGTGGGACCCTTGGGCCCAGAAAACTGCCTGGAGGGCTCCCCAAACTTGGGCCATGAGCTGGGCCCCTGACAGTGGGTACAGGTGACCAAGCTTGCAGGTCAGCACCCGCCACCCACAGGCCGATGACTGTTGGCTACCTTTTTATCCTTCAAGATCTGCAGCTACAGCAGAAGGCAGGGCCAGCTGGGCCTGTGGCCAGCGCAGAATGGTGCACGCTGGCTTCAGTGCTCTGCTGTTGTCATCTTGAAAGCCTGACTAATTTGTGGCGAGGGGCCTGGCATATTCACCTCGCCTGGGCCCTGTCTCTGGGGACACAACTGGGCACTTGCTGTCTCAGGCAGAGATCTGGGCAAGAGCTGGGGGTTGGGAATTCCCTGGTAGCCTAATAGTTAGGACTCCATGCTTTCACTGCCGTAGTGCAGGCTCGATCCCTGGTCAGGGAACTAAGATCCCGAAAGCCGCACAGCACGGCCAAAAAAAAACCAAAACTTTTTTTTATTTAAAAAAAAAAAGAGCCAGCGTTCATCAGCTGACAGACCAGAGCCCCTTCACCTTGCTTTTGTTTGGGGTGTCCACAGCCGCACCTCCAGCCCTGTGAGGGAGGCCAGGCTGGTCACTTCAGTTGGTGACAGTGCAGGTCTCACCCTGGGCGAGGGTAGAGCCGTGGCTGGGACGGGGCCTTCAGCTCCCCCTACAGCGCCCCTGCGTCCCCACCCACCCGAGGCCCCCGAGGCCAGCTCGGGTCAAGCTACCCTCCTTGCAACCCTCGGCCCTGGGAGGACCTGGGCTACACCCCATCCCAGCTTCCTCAGCCCCTGGGGGGTGGGTGCCGTCTCTGCCTGTCCCCCATGTTCCAGGCAGTGGCTGGAGGACGCGCTGAGGGAGAATGAACCAGGCGCCTGCTTCCTGTTCCTTGTGGGGACCAAGAAGGACCTTCTGGTGAGCGTAGCGGGTCAGGGCCAGGGGCGGCCTCGGGAAACGTGGCCCCTTCAGCCTGGGCTTGCGGAGCAGAGGGTGACTCCTATGTGCCTACGTGGGAACTTGCAGGCGGGGGTCTGAAAGCAGGGCCACTCGGTTCCCGGTGCTCGGGGCTCGTCCCATCAGGGAGGGACGCTGGCGCTCAGACTCGCCTGGGACCGCCGGGCTCACCTGTGGGCAGGTGCCAAGGCCCGGGGAGCTGGGTCAGCAGGGCCGCTTCTCCCAGTCAGGGGCCGCGTGCGAGCAGGCGGAGGCAGAGGCCGTGCGCCTAGCCAACGAGATGCAGGCCGAGTACTGGTCCGTGTCGGCCAAGACCGGTGAGTGGGTGCAGGGCTGCCGCCGTGGTGATCGGGGGTGGGGGCCCTGCCCTGGATGGGAGGAGTGGCACACCTGTGTTCTCTAGTGAGACCCCCGCGGCCGCTGTGGGGCACATCCATCCCGTCCCTGTGAGGTCACGACCAGAGTCTCAGGGAGGCAGTGGTGGGGCTGGGGTTGGAACGCAGCCTCACCTGTAAACACACCATCCTCCTGCTCCTGACCGGGTACAGGTGGGAGGGGCCAGTGACCGGCTGTCCCTCCCTTCCCCAGGTGTCATCACAGAAGGCACTCAAACATCCCTCACGGCCCTCCAGCCCTCCCCCACACCCCACCCAGTCTGCCCCAGCCTCACTGGGTCCCCGGCCCCTGAGCTGCCCTCGCCCACGGGCACTGCTTACCCCGGCCCCCAGAGCCTCTGAGCCTCATCATCCTCATCCGGGAAGTGGGGTGTTGCTGTCAATCTCATTTTATTTTTAATGGAAAAATGTGTTTCAAATGATAAAAGCCATATGATTCACTGAGGAAAAATGAGAAAATGCAGAGAAGCAAGGAACAGATTTTGAAAACAGGTTGTTGAGGGGATGAAATGAAATAACTGCTGGGGGTACAGGAGGCCCCAAGGCCATGGGGACTCTGGAATGACACCTGGGAGCCCTTACCCCGGGCGAGGGGCCACCGTGGACACCTGCCCAGGGGTTTGGTGAGGCAGCAGGAGTGCGAGTGGAAGTACCACCTCCAGCCCAACACAAAAAGTGGCAGCCCCCATGTCCAGTTCCCTCTTCTCCTTCCTGACGGTGTCCCTGAGGCTGTGAGAACCCGCCCTCTTATTGGAGTAACAGCATGTTCCCTGAGAGCTCCCTATGGGCCAAGAAGGACTGCCCTGTGCGGTGGTATAGGTTGTTAACTGCACAAGGGCAGCATGTGTGTCGGGGGCTGGGCCCGGCCCTGTGCCCAGATGGGTGGTCTTGTCCTCCTGGCGGAGGACATGGGGGCCAGTGGCTCTAATCCTCATGGCTGCCCACTGGAGAGGTGCTCAAAGGTTACGGGAAAGCAGGCCCACACTGCTCGGTGCCTGGCCCACGGGTGCTCAGTAGCAATTGATTGGAAGAGTAGATGCCGGGAAACCAAGGCTCAGAGATTTTCAGGAGCGGCCAGGGCATGTGGCCAGGGTGGGGAGCTCATCCCCTGCACAGCGGGGGGGCTGTCCTGGCTCCCGCACCACTGGCTCCCCCACCCCCCAGTGCATCCATGGGCAGGGGCAGAGATGGCCAGGGTCACGGCTGTCCCGTGCCCACAGGGGAGAACGTGAAGGCGTTTTTCAGCCGTGTGGCCGCCCTGGCCTTCGAGCGCTCAGTGCTGCAGGACCTGGAGCGGAGGAGCAGTGCCCAGCTGCAGGTCGGCGACGGGGACATCATCCGTACGTGCAGGTGATGGGCTGGGCTGGGGAGAGGCTTGCGGCCTGAAATCCGCGTCCACCACCCTCTGGCCCAAGACTCAACCATTCCCTTGGCTCGTCGCCCTTTGCTCTTGGCTCCTGGCTGCCCCTTCCCCCATCCCTCTGACCTCCAGCCTGCAGCCTCCCTGCCTACCTGCCAGCTCAGACGCCCACCCCCATCAGCTGCAGGTACCTGGTTAATGCCAGGTGACTTCTCCCCTCATTACAGGGATGGAGGGACATCCACCCGAGACCCAGGACAGCAAGAGGCCCTCCAGCCCAGGTTGCTGTTAGCTGAGCCTGCGTCAGAGGCCTCCACTGCCTGCATGCGTGTGGGCAGTGCCTCCCGTGACCTGGAGGGTGACATGGAACACCCACCGTGCTGAGCCCCAGGGCTCCTCCTCTTCTCTTCAGCGGGTCGGGAGCCAGGGAAGGCCCCCAGTGGCTGCCCAGGGCCCCATGCTGCCCAGCTGGTGGGGGCACTGAGGCTGTCATCTGGAAGGCCAGTTGCACTTACAGAGTCACTCGACAGCCCCCCGGCCCTGGGAGGCTCAGGACCACAGGCACGGACACGTGCCCCCAGGCCCACGGCGCTCGCCCTGGGCACAGTCAGCATCCCCTCAGGCCTCTTCCCCACTTTCCTGGGTCGGCCTCCGAATCCTCCTCATCTCGGTGGTCCAGACGAGTGGCACTTGCTGAAGTCAAGGCTCCCTGTCTGCTGCAACCCGGATCGGGCAAGAGCACCCAGGTCTCCCCTCCCCAGCTCCCGCCCAGAGCGCCCAACCCTCTCCATGCCCTCGTGTTGCTCCTCCTCAGGGGCTACTGAGCCCCCGCCCACCCCACTCTCCCCAACCCTGGGTGTGTGCCCCCCAGTCCCGCCCTCCGTGGCCATAGGCAGGTGGCACGTCTGGCTCCCGCCTGTTTCTCGTAGATGGTGAGCATTTCGGGCAGCCAGGTGGTTAGCCGCCGGGAGACTAGGCGGCTTTTGTTCATTCCCCCTTCACCACATTTTAGGCTCTCCTCTTTTATAGATAGGAGATACTTCTTTATATAAATCACTCCTAAAGGAATGGCATATGTGCTTATTGTGAAACGAGACAGCACAGAGCTCTGCATGCAGAGTGACAGTCCCTGCGGTCCCGGACGTAAGCCTCGTCTGCAGCGGGTGGGACTCCTGTTCCTACACAGCACGGCCACGACCTGGGCGCCTTGTTTGCCGTTAAACCAGAGTGACTTCTCCCCACGCCCACAGGGCAGGCCGCATTCCGAGGAGCTGCCAGAGCGAGCCTGCGTGTCCCTTCATGCAGATGGGCCAGAGTCCATCCACCCTGCCCGGCCGTGGGACAGTTGGCTTGTGTCCAGCTTTTAGCTTTTTTTAACTGAAGTGACCATCCTCATAGTTATAGCTTTGCACACTCGGGTTTCCCCACAGAGGCCTTGCTGGGCCTTCAGTGGGCTGGCCCACCAGACCCAGTTTTGAGGGGCAGGCTATCTCAGGGTGCACCACGACCGGGTTTGGGGCACACCACAGACAGCGTCAGGATGGCAGACCCTGGTCAGGTGGGCTGGCACCCTCCCGGCTCCATCCCCACCCCTCTAGGCCCCAGGACTGGGGGGCGGTAATGCACCCTGCTGTCACTAGCCCCCGAGCCAGGACCACTGTCTCATGTGCGCCCACCCCTCCAAATGGCCCTTTGTGAAACTCTCCTCCTGTTGCCCCGTGTGTGCCCAACTGTTCAATGTTTCTTCTGAAGTGGCAGAACCACTTTGCTGTGGTTCCACTGATACCATGAGTCCACAAAGACATCCTCTACACGCACTTAAATTTCTGGGGTGGAGACCCAGGGCCGCACGCGAGAGCTTCAGAGCCATCCCGGGGCCCTTCCCCTCCTTCGCTTTTCTCACCCTGTCACTCAAGGCCCCTCAGTGGCTGCCCCAGCCCACCCTGCAGGCCCCTGTGCTCCAGCCTTCACCCGTGGTCACTAGTCTTTGCAGGTGCCAGGCCTCTTCTGTGCCCGGCGGCTCGGGCGCTCCTTCTCTGGGAGGACTTCCTGGAGCCCCCACGGCTCCCACAGCACTTGTTACTTACGGGTGTGGTGTCCATGTTTGGGCTTCTCCCCCGTCCCCCCCCACACCGCCTTGTGGGACCCTAAGAGCCAGGGCAGCGACCCTGTGACCTCATCTCCCCAGCATCTCCTAGACAAAAGGCCCCCGGCAGGTGCTCACCTAGATGTAGCAGGGAGACAGGAATCCCGCTGAGTCTCCGGCAGACACAGTCACTCTCACCAAGATGCCTCTTCGTGAACCTCCTGGGCACAGTCCTGTGCTTGGCCCTCCTCAGTGGCAAGAGGCGGGTGTGCCCGCTGCTCGCTCAGAGGCTCCTGAAGTCAGGCAGCAGCCAGGGAGGGCTGCAGGGGCTCAAGCGTCAGGTCTGTTCCTGGGAGGAGCTCGGTGAGAGGCAGACACAGAAGATTCCAGGGAAAGCCGTGCAGGCCTGGGGAGGGAGTCGCATGCAGGCACCACCACTGCCTCCAGCCCTTTGGAGGTGGGAATTCTGGCCCAAAGCAGGGGCTACCCAGGAATGGGGCCATCCAGCCTCTTGGGGGAGTAACCAGAACCCCCATTTACTGAGCACTCAGTGGAGGGGGAAGAAGTCCCTTTCATCCCAGCAACCCTGGGGGCTGGGTATCAGGACCTCCTGTCCCCACCTAACTGGAGAGGAGCCTGAGCACAGAGCCCAGGTGACAGGATGCAGCTGAGCACTTCTCCTCCGCATTCCTTGTCCCTCCTCTCTCTTCGCCTCCCACGCCAGCTTGCAGTGTGATCCCAGCGGGAATCCCACTCCAGGTCCCACACCTGCTCCTCCTCAGGGTCCACAGCAGAGCTAATGAGCTAATCAGTCGCTCCCCATCACAGCCTGCTTCCTGAGCCCCGTGATTTTAGTCGGTCCTTCCCCAGCCCCACAGCCACGGGACCAGTCTCCGCAGTGACCCAGAGCACCATGGGGGTCTCGGCCTCCTGGCAAGCAGGAACCTCCCCCTTCCCCGACCCTGCTGTGGCCTCTGGAGGGAACGGGGGGCCTCGGATCCACCCAATGCCCACTTCGGCCTGATGATGGGATGGGAGCCACTCCCAGAGGGACTGAGCTCTCCTGAGGGACCCGGGCAGCCTAAGCTGGACACCTGAGGTCGCCTGAGATGTAGGTAATGGAGCATGCTGACCGGCAGGGGACCTGCTCCACTCACACCCTCACACAGATAAGAGCCTGGGAGAGGCCAGGGTGACAGGCGTTCCTGGCCTGGGGACTATAGAGGGGACTCGGGGACCAGGAGGCCCAGGGTGGGGATGAGAGGTGGGGTGTGGGGTGGGGGAGCTTTCAGAAGCAGCAACAGCTCAGAGAGGGCCCTCATCTTCTGAGCCTTCGGGGCTCCCAGAGACAGGGGCAGGGGGCCCTGGGCGCACGTCACCCAAGGAGGCCCTGAGACGAGACACCCTCCCAGCAGACCCCGGACTCCTCTGCCATCTGCTGTGGCCTCCCCTGTCACCTCCCATATGTCGGGCAGACAGGGAGCGTGGCTGTCCCACGGCCTCCTTCCAGGCTCCACCCCCTCATCCAGATGCCTCCCAGAATTCAGGGCCACCAGCCACCTGTCTGAGCCTGTGCCTCAGGAGGGAGCAGGGTAGTGCGGCCTGTCCCCAGGCTGCTGTTTGCAGACCCTTCCTTCTGCTCCCTGTTCCCCAACAGGTGGATGGCACCCCTGGCCTGAGGGTGCTCTGGGCCTCTGGCCACTGGAAGCCACAGCCTGCACCATGTCACTGGCCGTGGCTTCAGGAACCAGCTCATCTTGTCCCAGCCCCTTCTTCTCTGTGAAGCGGGAAATGGCAGCCTGGGCACTCGGCCGGCAGAATTGATTCTGCAGATGTGGTGGCGTTACAGACAAGGGGGCCTGGGAGGAAAGGCCCACAGCTCACTTGTTCAGAGCCCTTGGCCAGGGAAGTCCCTCAGAGACCCCGGCTACCCACTCTGGGCCGGGGTTGGTAACCTGGAAGAGGCACCCCACCAGGCACCATCCAGCACAGAGCAACGAGCAGGGCCAGAGAACAGCTGTATCGATTGCCCCCATTTTCTGATCTTGCCCGAAGCTCCCTGGGGCTGACGGATGGCAGATGACAGATGGGGGTCATGTGGCCACATCCCGTTTGGGGGGAGCCCTCCTCTAGCCTCTGCCCCCAAAGCGGGCGGAGAGGAGGGTACAGACAAGGCAGGGAAGGAGCAAAATATGGTCCCCACTTATTGTTGTGTGAGACCATTAGCAGTCACTCCCCATTCCTCCCATCCCCGATCCCCAGGTGACCGCCAACCTACTTTCTGTTTCTATAGACTTGTCTATTCTGGACATTTCATGTAAATGGAGTCATACAATATGTGGCCCTTTATGACTGTTTTCTTTCACTTGGCATAAATGTTTTCAAGGTTCATCGATGTTTAGCATGTATTGGTACTACATTTTCTTTCATGGTCATATAATATTCCACTGTGATATTCCCGTGACAGACGTTGGGGTTGTTTCCATCCCCAGGGTTCTGAGGCATCGGAAGTTCTGCGTTCTTTCCAGCAGAGGGGGCCGTTGAGTCCCAGCCTCTCCTTCCAGCAAAGGGACCGGATGGTGGGGGGGGGGGGGGCGGGAGGGGGAGGGAGAGAGAGAGAGAGAGAGATTGTGAAATGAATTATAGAGCCACAAAACCACATCCCAGAAAATGAAGGAAGTTGAGGAGGGGACATCACCAACATTCCCACTTTCCTGTTCCATTTTAGTTTTTAGATGAAAAAAAAAAACATCTATTGGGAGTGGTGGTGATTGTAGTGATGGTTTTCACGGGCGCAAAACGCCTGATGTGACCTCCTGCAGCCCACACCAGCCTCACCCCATAACCCAGCTGTTCCTCAGACACACCCAGAACTCTGAACTCTCCCCATCTTTGCCTGTCTGTCCCCATCTTTAGGACCAGCTCGCTGGCCAGCCTTCCCCTGACCTCTGCCTCCTCCTGAATGCCCGCCCTCAAGGCCCACACACCTCTGCTGCGGCCTGGCTCTGCCCGCCTCACCCTTTCCTCCCTGGGCTCTGCGCTCCCACCCGGGTCAGCACTGGCTGAGCACTTACTATGTCGTAAGCATTGGGGGTTCACTGGGGAACAAGACAGACAGATCTCTGTTCTTGGAAGTTTAGATCTAGCTGGGGACAGACACCAAATGGGGGACTACAGAGTGTCATATATATGGACCCCACTTTCCTCCTCATTCTTCCCTTCCTCAGGAGGGAGGAATGATAAGAAAGCTCTTCGGGGAAGGACCAGAGACCCAGGGTGGGAGTGCTTTCAGGGAAGGCTCAGAGGATGGGAGGAGTGTCCTTGGGGCCAGAACAAGCTGTCCCATGGGAAGATAGCCACTATCTTGCAGTGTCCTTGTGCCCAACGAGCCACTTGCTCTACCAAGAGAGCAGAGCTTGCAAACCCAAACCAAACAGCATCAGAGTTCTGATATGAGCTTGCTTATGTGTACAATATTTAAGGTGGGGCTGAGTTGGGGCCTGCAAACCAGGGAAAGGGACATCTCACTGATGGATGAAGCCACCCCCCCACAAAGTATCCTTTTCTTTCCCAGGTGTTTAATGATAATGTCCCTGATGAGCCCACAATTCCCCCTGGAAACTCAGAGACCCTGTCAGCAAGGGGAAAAAAATGTTTGTGCTTTTGGGAGTCTCCTTGCTGACAGCCAGGGAATGGGGTTCTGGAGGCCTGGGTTCTCGTCCTGTCGGACCCACTCGTTGGGTGACGGGAGCAGGTCATCCAAGGAAGGCAACTGATACCGATGCTGAGCTGCTGTGTGCCATGCCCTGGGAGGTCAGGATTTATTATACCCGTTTTGAAGAAGAGGTCATCAGGATGTGAGCACTGCTGGGATTCCCGCCTCGCATTGCTGGCCACAAAGTCAGGGCACCAACCTCTGTTTCCTCACTTGCAAAATAGGCTTTACAAGGGCCCTGTTGGCCTTGCAGAGGAGTGGGAGGGGACATGGGGCCTGGGAGGGGTGACAGCAGGAGGGTGGAGAGCCTGCAGGGGGCGGCAGTGAGCTGTGCCTGGAAGTGTCTGCCAGTCCTGCTCCCCAGGGTTTTCCTGCCAGTCTCCCAGGGCACCAACATTAAAGGTAATCATGGAAGGAACAGCACATGCTTTATATTTGCCCCATCTGGTTGCCTTACACATGGTGCTCACAACATCTGACATAAGAGGACAAAACTTGGGCTCAGAGAGGGGAAGGGAATTGCCAAGGTCACAAAGCCCAGAGTGGGAGAGACCTGAATCCCAGCCAGGCCGGCCCTGGGCTCTGTTCCTCTAGATTAGATGTCAGGGCATCCACTCTGGGTGGCACTGGAACTGCGGGGAAGGCAAGACAACCCCTCACATCCGTGCAGGGACAACAGCCGCGGGGGCGGGGGCGGGGGGTGGGGAGGTATTCTCGTTCTCATTTCAACGCCCAGGAAGCAGGCACAGAGGGGCAGAGGCGGTCAGGACTCAAGCCGGGTTCTCTGGTCGACAAATCCTGTTTCCGTATCCCCTCACCCAGCAGGCTGGTGGGGGTATTTTCACTTGGCGCCCCTTTGACTCCCTCCAGGGTGCTGTGTGTCTAAGATCTCTGGGCTTCCCCGAGGGACGAGAACAGATTTTGTTTCCCTGCCCGCCTGGGCTATGCTGTCTTCCGCCCAGCCCTGCGCGTCCCAGTGGAGGCTGGCGACCCCTTCAGAGGCAGATTACAGAGATAAGTTCTGAGTCAGGCAAACACCTGGCCCAGGACCGCAGGAAAGGAGACGTGGGTGTTGAGTGACCTGGGGAGAAACTCCTATTGATTATCTCT